ATTTATGCCCCTATGGACACAGGAGCAACCAGAGTATTTTCTCACGAAAGTAAAAATACGTATCTCATAAAAATCATTGAGAATGAAGATACGCGAAGTCAGAAACCAACTCCGAACACAAGAAGTGTGGTTACGCAAACAGAGTGACAAACGAGGAAACGACGAAATAGGAAAAAAGACAAAATAGGGAAAAGACAAAAAGTGAATAGTGTCGAAAAACGAAAAGTATGGAATTGACTCGGTCCTCAAAGGAAGTTGTCAATCCATAGAAAATAGTCTCAGAAATCACTCCAGAGTACTCGAGACGACACTAATCGACAAGAAACCAAACTCAGAAGGGAAAAGACAACGGAAAAAATTTATCCGAAAAATCCGGGTCATTACATTTCAAGCTCCATCCATGGAGGCTAGGGTTTTCTTTACAAGAGAGGGAAGAGATAGAAATTAAGTGTGAAAGAATGTGAGTAGAGGAAATAGAAATCCTCCACTCACTATGTGGTCTTACACCAAGGTCAACAAACACAAGTCTTGGTCAATTGCACAAAAACCCTCTTTAGCAACATAATTCTAAAGTGGCCCAAAAATAATTGCAAGACTAAATTGTGAGCCTACACTTGTCACAAATCTAAGGCTCTATCATAGGCTTAATCTCAAACCCACACTTGTCAACTATCCAAGCCAATAAGTGCACCAATCCTTAGCCAACAAGTGGGTGAATCTCCACCCTCCACATGTCATCATCTAAGGCATCAAAATGTCTCCACACAAATGTCAACAAATGGACCAATGAGAGTGTGACACTTGTCACACTTTCTGAAAATTGCAAAAAGGTCCTTTTTGAAAATATCTTCCAAAAAAATTTGTAAAATGGTCTCTAAAACGAAAAATAATTACTTTACAGTAATTACACAAAAACCACAAAAGAAAGGAAAATTCCAAAGAAGTGTGCATGCGCACCCCTAAGGAAGAAAGTACACAACTAGCATGCTTTTCTACAAAAGTAAAAATACACATAGCATAAAATTTAAATATCGTGGATGCATGCAAAACCGGAATCAAATCCGAACACGAAAAGTGAGGTTATGCCAACAAAGTGACAACCGAGAAAAAGACGAAAAGTGAATAGTGTCACAAAAGTGAAAATGTGAAAATTACTCGGTCCTCAAAGGAAGTCATCAATCCATGAAAAAGAGTCTCGGAAACCATCCCCGAGCACTCAAGATGATAGTAAGTGACGAGAAATCGAACTCAGAAAGGAAAAGATCAACGGAAAAAAAAAAAAATATCCGTGAAAATCTGAGAAAAGGAAAGGAAAGAAAATGACCGGGTCATTACAATATAACTCACTTTAGACTTAATTTATGGCATGGCCATGACTTGATCTTTATTGTATATTAATTTGGGGTGATTTAAATGAGTTTTCAAATCTAGAGATTTAATGAATTTAAATTGATTTAAATTTTACTAAATTGTACCTTACTTGTATTCCATTTTTTGACTTAATATATGGCATGGCCATGACTTAGTCCTTATTATATATTTATTTGGGATCATTTGAACAACTTTTGAAAAATTAGAGAATTAATTAATTTAAATTAATTAAAATCTACATGATAGAGTCTTACTCATTTTGCTCTTTTGATTTGATATATGCAATGAGTATGCTATATTGTTTAACATTTATTAATTTGAGGTTATTTGGAATGATTTGAAATCTAGAGACTTTCCATGATTAGGTTGAAAATCTCTTAAAATGTAGTATATTTAATTACCTTGTGAGCATGCTACTAACTTGATGTAGAATTAGTACTTAAGGCTCCTTAAAATGGTAATTAGACTTAGCATGATATAGAATATTATTGACTTAGCATGGTTTGTGTGGATTCAACCTTACTTGTGCATAGAATGTGGTAACTTGCATTTGAGTTTGTATAAGTTTTGAACATATTAATTTTGGAAAGCTTGTGAGGACATAATTTATTTGATGGCTAAGGTTTGGCTCCAGTACAGAGACAAGAGTCTTCTAAGTCATAAGTGCGCACTAGGTGGTACCTTGTGGGTTATAATTACCCGAAAATACTTGCTTGGTCTAGCGACCGCATGTCCTAGTCTTTCCACTATTTGATTTCGCATTTAATTTCAAGTTGTTAATCATGGATTACTTGTAGCTTGAGAATTGATGTTTACTTTGGGTATTCGAATCCTATTTAGTATACTTGAACTTGTATACTTGCTCCATGAGTTAGATTGCATTTAGTGTACTTGTGCCATGTATACTTGTCTTATGCGTAATCCTATTAGCTTAGTATACTTGTGTTGTGTACTTGATATACGAGATTCCACATTAAATGTATACTTGGGTGAATATACTTAGACATTGCATGACCTGTCTTAATACAGTTGAGTATACTTGGAAATGTATGCTTATATGTTGTATATCGTGTTTTAGCATCGTTTTGTATACCTGAGTATGTATACTTGTATGCCGTTGTTCGTTTTAATTGCATGAGTAGCTTAGGATGATCCCTGAGTCTCACCTTGACATAGACGTTAGGTGGCATGATCTTTTTGAATTGTTTCAAAGTTAATGTAAAAATCTGTGAAGAAATCGAGCCTATGCATGCTTATTCCCTACGAGTAAACTTGTTTACTCACCCCGAAGTTACTGGGGGTTTTGTTCAGGTATGAAGACTTGGTTCGTGATGCTCATTATTGCTTAGATGATTGTAGACTTGAAGGTTTTAATTCTTGTAAAGGTTAGCTTGAAATGCCACTTGTAGCCTTATATGTCAAAATGTGTATATTTGATTCCATGTATGTAATGTGTACATGAGTACACTCTTTACAATGTAGACATGTATGAGATGAGGCCGGAGGCCAATGATATGTATTTTGTATTCTATGTAATTTTTGACTTCATGAAATATTATAAAAATATTGAAAAATACCAAGTTATTGTTTCGTCATGGTTGCATCGGGTGTAGGAATTCTATTTTTATTCTTTCATAGGGTCTCATTAATCATGTTTGAAGTGTGGCCGAGGGCCAAACGGTAATTTGAAATCATTTGTCAATTTTGGTTTTCAAATTTACCATTTCATGTGAATTTTTGCCCTTTTGGCCGTTGGGGGGTCGGATTTTGTATTAGTAGTATTTTTAAGCCATGGACCATTGTAACATGTCCTAATAGGTAAGTTATGTTCGCATGCATGATCGTTTTCAAGAAAAATCTCATCCTTGGTGATTTGAGCTTTCTATGGACTCATTTTGTTTTTTTTTTTTTTTTCTTTTTTTTTTTGCATAATCCAGTTTAAGGGAATTTTGGGTATTTCACTTGAAAAATAAAAAACTTCTCTTGGCATGGTCATGCAGAAAACATGATTTTAGGGGGGGTTTCTTCTTTGTGTTTTTCCAAAAAACATCGTTTCGGACACGAAAACTCTCATTTCAAATTCAATTTTCTGGTAAGAAAATTTTCGATCACTGTCAGCCTCGTCTAATCAATTAGATGAACCATCTAATCGATTAGCTGGTCTTCCGTGTGATTTCTAGCATTCTGTTTTGACATCTAATCGATTAGATGGTCCTGAGTTGCATCTTTTGACCCTTTTTCTTCATTTGATCATAACTTTGTCATCCGGACTCCAAATTGAGTGAACTTTTTTTTGAACTTGACTAATTTTTTGTCGTCTATCCAACAGTGTACTTAATTACACCCAGATATTTATGGATAATTACGAGTTTACCCCTTTTAGCCTTAAGTGCTTGTTTTCTTCGTCTTGCCATTTCTCCTTCTTCCGGACTCCGAATCATGCGATTCTTGAGTCCATCTTAATTAATTTTTCATTGTCTTTCCAATGGTGTACACGGTAGCACCCATTCCTAGGTAAAATGACCATTTTACCCTTGGTCCATTTCTTGTAGGTTTTTGAAAACCTTGTTCCCTTCTTGCTTCCTTTGAGTCTCGGGACTCCTCGGGAAGCTACTTTCGTGTCTTAGGGATGATGTACATCTCTTTAGACTTTTATTTTGTGTGAAAAGACTATTTTGCTCTTGGAGGCATACTTGGTCTATTTTTGATCTTTTTCTTCTGCGTTAGTTTTTGTTAGGTTTCGTGGCTTCTTGGAAGGTCACTTTGGTTTCTTAGAGACGTATTGTATATCTAGAGACTTGGGTTCAATTTTTGCTTCTGCATTCCAGATTCGTTATCGAATCTACGTTTGGTTCATCACAGGATGCACTGGCCTAAAAACCAAGGCCGTCACATACACAATGCCCCAAGTCTCTAAAGACAAAGGAGAGTAATTAATTGCACTAATGCAATTAATTACACAAAACCACTCACATCCCAACCGTAGCTCGTAAAAGCTGTCCGAGGCAACACAAGAAGGATCCACTACAAGAAAAATGGTTATTAGTGACAGACCTTTAGGGACAGTTCAAAAAACTGTCCCTAAAAACCCTATTTTTAAGGACGGACTTTAATTACTGTCACTAAAGACACACTTTTTAGTGACATTCCATACTTGTCTGTCCCTAAAAGACCAAAAAAATAAAAAAATAAAAATCCCTCCAATCTAGTGGCGGCAAAACTTAGCGCCATTTTTAATGAAATTATAATTTTTTTTTATTAATTATCGAAATAGCCTTTTGGGACGGTAAAGTTACCGTCCCCAAAAGGCTATTTAGTGAAATTATAATTTTTTTTAATAAAAAATTATCAAAATAAGGTTCTGGAATGATAATTTGACTGTCCCGAAAGATACTATTTTTGGGCACGGTCTTTAATTACCGTCTCTAAAGGCCCAAATAATTTTCCCTGCCTTCTGTGGTGCTAGCGGGAAACTTAGCGCCACATTAATGAATTTTTTTAATACAAAACATAATTAAAAATTAGTCTTTAGGGACGGTAAGTGCACTGTGACTAATGTGACCTTAAAAAACAACGTAGTTTTTGTCCTTAGGTATATATATCATTGCTCACGCAGAACCCTCTACACAACTCTTCTCTCTCTCTCTCTTCCAAGCCATAGGTTCCTCTACACAACTCTGCTCTCTCTCTCTTGCATCTAAGCCCTACCTTTCTCTCTCTGCTCTCTCTCTCTCGTCAAAGCCCTATCTTTCTCTTTTCGCTCTTCACGACCTTTCATACACAGGAGTTCTTCACATCAGGCTCTCACGACTGCCATGGTTGAGGACAGCGAGAATCAGCTTGGTTCTATTCTATGTCAACAGATGATGTTAGTAGGGCTTCTCGACTTCTAGATACTAAGATTCAAGTGCTCAAGGTAAATCATATTCTGTGGATTTCATCTATTTTTTCAAAGTTTATTTAAATTTGACAATCTTTGTGAATCTATTTTGGTTTGAAGGAGGAGTTGCAAAGATTAAATCTTGAGTTGGATTCCTTCAAGGAAAAGATAAAGGAGAATCAAGAGAAAATAAAACTCAACAAGCAGCTTCCATATCTGGTCAGCAATAGTGGAGGTAATAATAAAAAATAAAAAAAATAAAAAATAAAAAAATTCATCGAAAAAAGCTGGAAAATAAATTAGAGCTTTTATACTATGTTTTGTTGTCAAAAATAATTTTTATTTTTTTATTTTTATATGAATGAAGATTGTGTTAGGAGATTTTTTGATTTCGCAATTCTCAAGTAACTAAGAATCTAAAATTGGTAGGGAATAGATTATATGTATTTATATTTCATTTGAAAATAATCTGTGATTGCAATCTCATATTCTGTGTTGATGGAGTAACTTCTTCCCCAAACCCCTTTTCCTTTAAGTCATCAAAACATGTAGGGACTTGACTTCTAAATGCTTTTTGCGACTTATGGAAAGACATACTTCCTTTTATTCTTTTATTGGGATTACCTAGAGTCTAGAAACATTGTACCAAAATATCTGACAAGTTTTGAGCCAAACTTCAAAGTATCAAAATATCACAAAACATACTTCCTTTTATTCTTTTATTGGGATTACCTAGAGTCTAGAAACATTGTAAGTTAATTATCATGACTAATCAAAAGAACTGAGATGGATGAAATATCTACCTCTTTTTTTTTTTTTAGAAAAAGTATTTTGCTTGCCGAAATAGTTAGATACCTAAATAATCTTTTAGTTTTCTAACTTGATATTACAAAAGAATGTTGTCCTGAACCTTCCCTAGATTTTTTCTATAATTTGGATTTGAAATAAGTTTGTAAAGTTTTGTGGACATGTTTCCCCTCACCTCAAATCAAGAATAGTCAAATTAGACAGTGACAGGTATTTTTTTTTGTTCCTTTTAATGTTTCTGGAAGATGGCTTTGAGTATTTAACAACACACCAAAAAATAAAATAAAAAATAAAAAAAGGGATTACAAAGTGCCCCTCCTTCCCCCGTTGTTATATTAACTATAACAACCTTTTTTATTTGAAGTTTTTAAGAAAATTACATTTCTATATTCTTAGAAATGTTGATTCGCATATCTCTTCCACGTTATAGGAAAATGGTTGCAAGGAACAGAGGATATGGTTTAAAGATCAAATGGGCCAACACCGTGGCATCCGTGGTAATAAGACTTCTCGTATTGGAGGGAAGGATTATAATACATTAGATGACTCAACAAAGAGATGGTTAGTTTATATAAACTTGTTTTCATTGTATTAGAAATTTAGTTTAAATGCATTGTTGTTTTTCCTCAAGAGTTCTTTTTTCTCATAAGCTTTGTGATTTCTCTAATAATTGGTATCTGAAAGTGGCTCCAACCATTTAAGAATCTCTCTCTATGGATAATGATGGTTAACCGTGAGTGTTATGCAAACTTATTCTAATACATTCAATATTTTTTGTTTTAGTTTGGAAATGTTATGTGGTCCCGATGGTGAGATTCCTGAGGAATTACAGAATTTATAACCTCATCATATTGAACATGTCTGTAATGAGATAATGGAGCGGGATCCCAATGTTCGCTGGGATGATATTGGTAACATAAGATGTTGTAGACTTTTCCCATTTTCATATTCTTGTAGAAAGTTTATGTATTTGGACATTTTGTTCTAATCATATTTTTTTGCCTGTCCATTCTCTAGCTGGTTTGGAGCATGCTAAAAAAAGTGTGACCGAGATGGTTATATAGCCTTTATTATGTCCTAACATTTTTAAAGGTTGCCATTCTCCGGGAAGAGGTCTTCTTCTGTTTAGTCCCCAGTAAGTATATGTTGCCCCTACAAATGAAAGATAAAAAGCATTTCCATTTTCTTCTTCATTCATTTTTTTCTCATGTCTTAGGGAATGTTTCTTCTCATTATGGTCAATTCTTGTACTAGAAATATAAGTCTAATATTGTATATGGGAATGTAGACAAAGTTTGCCTGTTGTATTTGCATCTTGGTAGCTCATTTTATGAAAAAAACTTAAATTTTACACAAGTAAGCCCAATATATTCAGGTAATTAAATGTTAATTGGTGATTTTAGATCGGTGGGAGTGAAAACCTAGTGAGAGCACTTTTTGGAGTTGCCTGTTATCGTCATTCGGCTGTTATATTCGTTGATGAAATAGATTCGCTTTTATCTAAAGTATGTTAGATTCTGACCTTTGAACTAAGAACGAGATATGAAGTTATGAGGCATAGGCTAGCCCCTACCTATGTTGTACTGAGTTCCATATTTAACAAGCACATAAGTCGCATTGACTGGTTGCTATTTGCTAAAAAAAATTCACCTGTTTTTGCTTCTATGTATAAATATTCAATGATCACACAAAAAGTTCAATCACAACATATGTTGATCTTGTCACCAACTTCGAGGTTAAATTTACTATGCACAGTTTATACTGACATTACAATATACATATGGAGGACCATTTGTGTGATCTATTTAACTACATATGGCTTTCTTTAAGACTATTGTTCACTTTGTCACCAACTGCTGGTGCATTTATTGGACTTTTCTCCATGGATATATATTGGTGTGTGATACTGGTATACAGGTCTTTCCATAAACATAATATTGTGTGTGCTAATTAAAATATTAGCTGAGACTAAGAGTAATAGAGGATGATGTACAAAATAGTGTGCCAAACAAGATAGGAATAGAGAGAGGCTTTTAATATTCCTATGCATTTTATAGAGTTGTAGGGTCTTTCAATAATATTAAAATGCAAGGGCTAAAATAATGAATATAAAACGGATATTAATTCTGTAATAGAATATACAAAGGTTTTCCAATTATAAATTTTGATTCAAAATCAAATTGTACCAAAAAGTGAATATATATATATATATATATATATATATAAAAGTATGTTAAATAACATGCACACACAATGTGTAATATCTATAATTTTTTTTTTTTGTTAACCCCTCTTTTTTTCTTGCTGTCATAAGTTCTTCTTGTGGATATAATAAAAGTCCAAATTGTTTCGACTATAAAATCACAAGAAAGATATTTTGTGAGAAGAATAAAAAATAAAATAAAAGAGAGATGGGTAGGCTGAAGATTTGACTCTTCTTAAATATTCCAAGTGCTGGGAGGGGAAGATTTGATACGAACCTAACCTTTGGCATTATATTTAGAAAGTGGTTGCTCTAGAGATTATTTATGTTCTCTATTTTCTGTTTCCAGCCAGTTAGAAGTATTGAAAAACTCTAAACATTTTAGTAAGCTCATTTCTGAAAGGTGCTTCAATCAGGCCAATTACATCTCTTTCACTTATTTATTTGTTGTTTGGTATTTATATTTAATTTGTCCTTATTATAAATATAAATGTTAGAGTAAGCCAATGAACAAATTCATTTTGGTCCATCGTGAACTGACTATAGCTTCAGAATTAACTAAGTTTGAGCAATGTTTTATTACGATACATTGTTTTAACTTCAGGATTATAGCTTCTGTTTGGTGCATATTTTATTTGTCTTCTTTAAATTAAGTTGAAATCGTAGAATTAATTAACGTTTAATTAGTCATTTTCATAGTCCACATTAATATTTTGCATTCATTGTTAGATCAAATAATTAACTGTCCCTACCTATATGCTTTCTAATCATACAATTTGTTATGGCACATTCTGATTCGCAAACACTATATATTCATAAAAACAATTTTCCTCATTTTTATTTTGTGCCTGTTATGTCTATAGATAGATGACATGTAGTGTTGTTATAGATGACATGTAGTGTTGTTATGTTGCTGGAAACTATGAATTTGTATGGAACTTGTTATATTTTTGAATGATTCGTTACAGGACTTTTGTTATAGTCCTTTTAGCCTTGATTTTATTAATGTGATCAGTTTAACCTTTACTATTTTTCTGTTACAAGTCTTTTTCTCCTTAATTTGTATCTCAGTTCTCAATTCGAAGACTTATATGTCAATTGTAGGATGAAATGATGGATAAGTCTTCCTAGATTTGTCAAAATTCTAATAGTACCATTCCAGTGAGAAATGATGTAATGACCCGGTCATTTTCTTCCTTTTCCTTTTTCCTCAAATTTTACGGATAAATTTTTTCCATTATCCTTTCTTTTTTGTGGATGGTTTTTCGTCACTTAGTGTTGTCTTGAGTGCTCGGAAATCGTTTCTGAGACTCTTTTCCGTGGATTGACAACTTTTTTTGAGAACCGAGTCATTTCCACAATTTTCGTTTTTCGACACTATTCACTTTTTTGTCCTTATACCTATTTCGTCTTTTTCCCTATTTTGTCTTTTCCCCATTTGTCACTTTGTTGGCAAAACCTCACTTCTTGTGCTCGGAGTTGGTTTTTGACTTCACGTATCTTAATCGTGAGTGGTTTTCACAAAATACGTATCTTTACTTTTGTAGGAAAGTACTATGGTTGCTCCCGGTGTCCATAGGGGCATTAATGCATAATTCTTTGAAATTAATTTCTTTTCTTGGGGTGATTTTCGTAAATATCTTTCGAAGATATTTTATTTCAGGAGTATCTAAGAAAATATCTTTTAGAAGATATTTTCATTCCGGGGCAGTTTTGCAGTTAACCCTTTTTGTGGGGGCCATTGAGCAATTAATGAAAGTTGTTGCAAATTATCTTGTTTTGAGTCTGGATCCTTGTACAGGATTCATTTTCACTTTTTTCGTCGAGTTGGAAACTCTTAGACTTCTGGTCGATGTTTTCCAGTTTCAGGGTTTCTGGCCCCCGTTTGCGCCAAACTTGTTTGGGGCATAACTTTCTGCTCGGGACTCAGTTTTTGAAACCATTTCTTTTGTTATTCTTATTTTCTCATTTTGAATCTTTTTCGTTCACAGAGTTTCATCATTTGAGCGCGTCTACTCAAATTTTACTTTTTCGAACCCGGCAGGGCCCGGGGCACTTTTTGAGATTTCTATAAAAGGGGATGAGATATTTTATTTTTTCATCTTCCCCACTCTCTTGCACGACCTGAAACTTCCATGGCAGCCCAGGGGAGGCTCCCACCTTCTCTCTCCTCATTTGAACTTCATTTCTTTGTCAGAACATAGTAGGGCCTTTGCGTTTTGTATTCGTGTTGGCTACGCGCTTCTTTCTTTCACCCTTATTAGAACCCATTTTTGGCCAAATTTTAAGTTGGATTTGAAGTCCAGTTGTGATTTTGATGGGGCTTCTTATGGTTTCATGTAGATCGTGTTGTCCCCGACAAAACCCTTCGGTATCGTCGGATTCGGAGTACTTTTTTTTCGGTGGGCTTTTGATATTTTCATCTCAAATTGAGGTAGGGGATGTCTTAGGTTTATATTATTGTTGTATTAATTGTTTCATAAGCATATACAACTTGTGAGCATGTCTTGTTTAAGTTTTTAGAATTTAATTTATTTATTTTCTTTGTTTAGGATTTAATTCTAATCATGATATATAGTTTAGAATTAAATTGTGGCATGCTAGTAAATTAGGCCTTGGTGAGTTGTGTAACATATATTAAATTTGGGGCATTTGAGTAAGAATTGCAAAACTTATTTAATATTTATCTTTTGTGAAAGATTAATTCACATAGTTGTATTAAGCATGAAACCAACTTGTAATGTGATATTAAAGTAGGCCTTGGTGAGTTCTTTAATATATATTAAATTGAGGACATTTGGATATGTTAGAAAATCTAGAGAAAAATTAATTAATGAGCTTTATTAATTTTATTTTAAGTGTGTTGGTCACTTAAATTGCATATTGGAGGCTTGACATGTCATATGCTATCTAGACTTGAATTAAAGGACATGGTTTATGTGGATTCAACCTTATTTGTGCATGGAAGATGGTTTTATGCATTAGTGGATTTGGTATAAGTTTGGTCTAACTTATTGATTTTTGTATAAGTTTTGGACTTATTGATTTTGGAAAGCTTGTAAGGACATATTTCACGTGATGGCTAGGGTTTGGCTCTAGTGCGGAGACAAGAGTCTTCTAAGTCATAAGTGCGCACTAGGTAGTACCTTGTGGGTCGTAATTGCCTGGAATAACTTATGCATGTGCGCACTAGGTAGTGCCTTGTGGGTCGTAATTACTCGGAAACACTTGCTTGGTTTTGTGACCACATGTCCTAGTCTTTCTACTTTGATTTCGCATTCAATTTCAAGTTGTTAATGATAGATTACTTGTAACTTGAGAATTGGTGCTTGCCTATGTATTTTGATCTCATTTAGTATACTTGAAACTGTATACTTGAACTTGTATCCTTGTTGGTGTATCTAAACTCTATCTAGTGTATTTATGCTTAGTATGCTTGCCTTGTGTGTGCGGATTTCATTTTTGTATACTTGTGCAATGTATACTTGTCTTGTGTGTATGTGTCTAGCTTAGTATACTTGTGAGCATGTGTACTTGAATGTCGTGTATCATGTTTTAATACGGTTTAGTGTACTTGAGCATGTATACTTGTATGCCGTAATTCATTTCAATTGCATGAGTAGCTTAGGATGATCCCTGAGTCTCACTTTGACATAAACGTTAGATGGTATGAGCCCCTCTAACATATTTCACCTTAAGGTGATAGAATTGTAAAATGCTAGGTCGATGCATGTTCATCTCCTACGAGTAGCTTTATGTTACTCACCCATGTAGTGGGGGCATTTTTTAGGTACCGAGATCAAGATTCGGGATTCACATCATGCTTGGATGATTTGTAGACTTGAAGTTTTCATTTCTTGTAAATGTTGGCTTGAAATGTCATTTATAGCTTATATGTCAAAATGTGTAAATTTGATTCTATTTTTATAATGTGTACATAAGTACACTCTTTACAATGTATTTGACATGTATGAGATGAGGCCGGAAGCCAATGACATGTATCTTGCTTTCTATGCACTTTCGTTTTCAAGGCTTAATATGAAAATGTTGAAAAATGTTTAGACATTGTGTCATAACTTTTGCCGGGTGTGGGAATTTCATTTTTATTCTTTCGTAGGGTCTCATTAATCATGTTTAAAGTGTGGCCAAGGGTCAAATGGTAATTTAAAATCATTTGTCAATTTTGGTTTTCATATTTTCAATTTCAAGTTCATTTTTGCCTTTTTGGCCGTTGGGGGGTCGGATTTTGACTCGGCCATTTCTGGGAGCGGTGGACCATTCCCACGTGTTCAAAATCACCATTTACGTCTATGTGCATGATCGTTTCCGGAAAAACCCTTTCGTTTGTGATTTGAGCCTCCTATGGAACCATTTTTCAATTTTATTGCATAATCTGTTCTAGGGGTATTATAGACTTTTTACATCAGTTTTATTTTCTTCTTTCGGCATTGTCACTTAAAAAACGTGATTTTAGAGGGGTTTTCTTCTTCGTGTTTTTCCAGAAAACATCGTCTTGGTACCGGAAATCTCTCGTGAAGTTTCAGCTTCCAGTTTCATTTTAGCAGCTGTTTAGCTCTTTTGACCAGATTTCTTGGGAGGGCATTTTGGCCATTTTGCAGTGAGTTTTTTTTAATTGTTTTATAAGTCACGTAGAAAACTCAATTTTGAGGGGGGTTTCTTCTTTGTGTTTTTGCAAAAAAAATTCATCTAGGCCTCCAAATTCAGCCTCTGTTCTGGAATTTTCTAAAAAAAAAACCACACAGCAGCTTTATGGGCTGCTGCGAGCCATGGTGCACCCAGCGCGCGCGCGACGTGCATGGTTGCGCGCATTGGCGTGCGCATGGGGCTGTCATGGCCCCTCATCAGGCCGCCGCGACGTCAATTCTTCTTTTGGGCTTTTCTCCTTCGTTCAGACTCCAATTCAAGTGAATTTTTTTTTGAACTTGATTAATTTTTCGTCGTCTATCCAACAGTGTGCTCAGTTACACCCGAATATTTCTGAATAATTACCAATTTTCCCTTAAAGCTTTAAGTGTCTGTTTTTCGTTGTTATGCCATTTCTCCTTCGTCCGAACTCCGAATCATGCGATTCTTGAGTCCATCTTGATTAGTTTTTCGTTGTCCTTCCAGCGGTGTGCTCGGTGGTACCTGAATCTACAGTTTTCAGAAATGACTATTTTGCCCCTAGGGGCTTATTTGTCATATTTTTGATCTTTTGCTTCCGCATCAATTCTTGTTGAGTTCCACGACCTCATAAAAGGTCACTTTGACTTCTTAGAGTCTTATTTTCTGTTTTCGCTTCCGCATATCGGATCCGTTATCGAATCAATCTTTGGTTCATCACAAGACACGCTGGCCTAAAAACCAAGGTCGCCACAAATGATGTTAAGATAGTGCAAAACCAACTAGGTATCAAGAAAGTATATCCCCGTGGGTTCAGACATGGTTTCATGATTCTAAGTCGTCAACGTGCATTCTCATCTTATAAAGAGGCTTCTCATAAAAGAGCAAAAATTGCCGAGGAAAATAATGCACAACTGAAGGAGGAAGTAAAAGGTTTGTGGGAATATATACAAAGAATTGAGAAGATGCTTCAGATTTTATTTTTTGTCTTTGAACTACAGATTCTATTGGGCATTTAAAACTAATGATACTCTAATTTTGAACATGTTAGAAGAGGTTTAAAGTTTATTTTTATATTATACATGTCATATGCTTTTGATATCATCTATAGTGCATGTGGTATGTTACTATACTCTCTTATTTTCAGTTTAGGGTTTAAGTTTTTCTTATAAAGAAGAAAAAAACATACAAACGTACAAACATAGCTGGGGCTAAAAAAAAAAGGGGGGGGGGGGGGGGGGGGGTGTAATAGGGACGGTTTTTAGTTGTCACAATTGTGAAAAAAAAAAAATAGTAAAAAATAAGTTATTAGGGAGGGTAAATACTGTCACGAATAGTTTATGTATTAGTGACAGTCCAAAAATTGTCCCTACTATATAACTTATTAGTGACGGTACATTCCGTCCCTAATAACTTTTAGTGACGGGATTATTTGGGATAATAAATACCGTCACTAAAGACCCTTATTTTTGGTGACAATCATTTTTTACTGTCATTAAAGATCTTTTGCGATGCTCTAACTAGTGACGGCCGATTTTGATTTTTAGTGACTGTTTAAGGGCTTTTAGTGATGGATTTGACTGTCACTAAAGCCGAATTTTCTTGTAGTGATCCTAGGTCACCACACCTATCCAATCCCGAAACCATTGCCCTAAGAAGACAAGACACGAGAACCTCAGCCTGAGGCTCACAAGGTAACCCCCGACTCCCCAAGGAATGGTTCGAGTCAACCCTGACTCTTCGTCCTATGACGCTAGAATCAAAGACATCAATGACATCATGATGTCAAGACCACTACAAGTCCTAAGAGATGACTCCGACACCTCTAACACTACCATGACTACTTTACGAAGAGACAAAAGAAAATGAGACAAAACGGTTCCTCCGTGGCCTATGTCTCATCTCGCCAGACGGAGATTACAACACTACGCTCACCTAAGCCCTAACGAGAAGACTCTCCGTGAGTCAGGACTGTGACGCTATATGCTTGAAAAGGAAACGAGATCAATAATAACACGAGTTATTATGGTCAAATGCAACTCACTTAGTGAATACCTCAAATAAATAGTACGTCAATGTATGCAATATACGGTCATGCTAAATCAATCAAAGAAAGTTGTTTAAACAGTTAAACACTTTAGCAAATAAGTATGTCAAACAAGGATGCTTTTAAACACATAAGCATATAAGCATAGAGACATGTCATAATACCAAGTGTGTTACTAAGAAACACGTAAACATGTTATAATGCCAAAACATGTTACCAAAGGCATGTGAAAATATCAAAGTACATCAACAAAAGCATGATATCCACCCAAAGCCCATTATCCAAGGTATTCAAACCTAGGAGCTTTGATACCACTTGTAACGACCTAAGTTTTTCAACCCGGTGCTTCAATGATGAACCGAAAGTTGACCCGGTAATGGGTCAAAAATGCGGAAGCGAAACCAAAAACAAGGTTTAAAGAGATATCAATCATCTCTAAGACGCCCAAGTGACTTTCTATGAAGTCATGAAACTCAAAGAGAATGAAAACGGGAGCAAAGGTCAAAATGGGCAAAAACCATTAACCAAGGGGCAAAATGGTCAATTCACAAATAAAAAGAGATTTGACTCTAAATAATTCAAATGAGGTATATACAGCCTAAACTAATCATTTCACAACATTCCAAGAGGTTCTAAGAACTTTGGCCAAGAATCCCACAAGATTCCCATTCCCTATTTAAACAAAAGCTAACACTGTCTTACTAAAATATGAATAACTCTCATTGTGATTTGAATCTGAGAATAGAATTAGTACCATTGGAAATCTGACTCAAAATCCTTGAATTTAGGCTCAAGAATAACCCCATTTAGATTACAAATGAAGAAGTTATGACCATTTGAAGTCGGAACAATAGTGTTGTCCCAAAGCTGAAGAACAATTGAGTAAAAGGTCTTTAGGTTGACCGAAATAAGCCATCGGTTGACCAAAATGAACTTAAAATGGCCCAAAATCCTAAAAATGAAGGAAAATCATTTAAGTCGACCGAAATGGACCTAAACTGTGCGAAAGCTACTGGAAAATGACTTTTTACTGTTCAAATGAATCCCAAAAGCCATCGGTCGACCGAAATGACATTTTGGTCGGCCGAAATAATTCTAAAAGTTGCTAAGGATCTATTAAACAACAAAATTGATGAGGCTTTACCCCAAGCCTCAACTCTCATCATGAAATGGTCCAAAAACAAAGTTTAAAGCTGTGCAAGCATGCCAAGAACTGCACTTTACATATTGAAATGTGTTAAAATGGCACATAGCCTCATTATATATCATTTACTCCAAATCACCTGTCAAACCTCCAAAGTTAGCAAAATTACATTTCAAAGGTAAAATTGAAGTTTAAATACATACTTTTGAACTTTAAAGTTTGTGGCCTTGGCCTCAAGTCATACATATTAAATAGGCTCCAAATAGTGTATCTAAGTACACTTTACATATTATAAGGCAAAAATGACATATTAAACCTAGCTAAGTATTACAACTTTAAAGGTAAAACTTAAACATGCTAACAGTTACATGTGAATAAGAACGCATTTAAAGAAACTTTAAATCTACAAATCACCCAAGGCAAATGCAAATCCCTAAATCTAGAATCCTGTACCTGAAAAATATCCCCGGTAACTTTGGGGTGAGTAACATAAAGCTACTCGTGGGAATTGAGCATGCAAAGACCTAACGTTTTACAAGATTATCTCATTAATGTGAAAAAATTCAAAAGGGTCATGCCACCTAGCGTCTATGTCAAAGGTGAGACCTAGGGAGCATCCTAAGCTACCCTAGATCATTTCTAGCATAAATCACATTATTTATGCAATTTAAATAAGATAGAAGCAAGTTATACAAGGCAACAAGATATAGATTCTCAAAGTTATCAACTTGAAATATAAAATGCAAAAATAACTAAAGTGGGTCATGCCACCTAACGTTTATGTTCCAAATGAATCTATAGGATAATTGATAAGTTACATTTGAACAATATAGCATAGATGTACTTAACAACATCAAAATTTGTAATAATTCATTAGAAATCACAATGCCCAAACGTACTTAACAATAATAAAACCTACGATGATTCATTAAAACCATAAAGCCTAAATATACTTAACAACATTAAAGCCTATGATGATTCATTAAAAATAATAATGCGTAAATGTACTTAACAATATTAAATCGCCAATAACCAAAAGCACAAGTCACAATTAAACATTCGTTGTCAACTTGGAATTGAATGCGAAATCAAATAGTGGAAGACTTGGGCATCAAATCTTGGATAAAGCCAAGACCTAAACGATTATTCTGGGCACTAACCCACTGGGAATACCACCCTAGTGCGCATTATGAAATAGGGAGAACTCATACCTCCCGTACTAGAGCCAAACTCTAGCTATGTCTCTGAACAATGTCCCAAATGACTCCAAAATAAAAAAGTTGACAACTTATATACGAAATATATAAAGCACGAAACTACATTCCATGCACAAGTAAGTTGGAACTACACAATACATGCTCTAAATTCATAACTACAATAGGATGACAAATGTCAAATCTTCAGAGTGTGATTCGTTACACACTATAATAACATCACATGTTGAATCTTCAGTGTGCGATTCGTTACACGCTATAACAATATCATTTAATATTGAAAACATAAACTGAAGAATCTAATACAAGTCTAAAATCATCATTTAAACATACAACCAATGTCAAACATAGGATCAAATCATTAACGTAATAGAAACAGAAATTAATTAAATAAACTAATTAATTTCTCTAGGTTTCAAATTTCATTCAAATGATCCCTAAACATGTTAAAGAACATAACTTGATCATTACATATATTCATTCAAAATCTTAATTAGGCCAATGAAATAACAAGGTAGAATTTAATTAAATCATGATAATTAAATCTCTAACTTCTAACGCAACTTCAAATGGTCCCAATTTAATATATGCTAGTAAACAAATTCTAGTCATTACAAATGTCATGTTAAAAACTTAATTAAGCCAATGGAACCTTTTAAATAGATTTTAATCAATTCTTTTAATTAAAATCTCTAAATTTTCAAACTCATCCAAATGCTCTCAAATTAAAGTATGTTAAAGAACATGCCAAGACTTAATTTAATACCATATTACAAGTTACTTCCATGCAAGGTATGGTCATGAGAACTAAACTTTCACAAAGGAAAATTATTAATTAAACGTTGTAATTCTTATTCAAACCCTCCCAATTTAATATATGTCAACAAGCATACGAAGGCCTAAATT